ATATGTTTGCATTGCTCGAAATCGCGCGCATTTACAAGGCCCTAAAGTTTTTTGCTGACTTGCACGGACCCATCTGTTATAAAGATCCCCAAAATAAAGGGATAAATCTCATAGTTTATTAGATATTATCGAGTAAAGTTGGCTCTTCATTTTCGCATAAATTATGACCTAAATTTGGAAACCGCTGAATTTCTCGCATTGGGTCTTTGCGATTTTGGTGAAAGTCTGTTCAACGCAAGGCACTAATACGCACTATATGTAGCCGAGAGATTTTCACGAAAAAATACCGGCAACGGCAGAATTTCGACTCAGACCCCAAATAGGTGTGGCACTATAACCACGTGACATTTACTCTGATGGCCAAAAATTTTGCTATGTTGTAGATTGATCTATATGTTATCCATGCTATATGTTAGACTCACGATCAAAGTAAAGGTGGGATACCACAGAGCTTCAAAGTAGGATGGTACCCTCACAAAATAACTGGGTCGAGTCACCTTAAGTTTCCTTTTTCCCGCCGAAACTGACGTTCTTGTTCCAGTCTTTTCCCAGTCAACAGACGTCGTCGTCGTGAAATTCGTCGTGGTTCTTAACTTCCCTATTACCGGTTCTTCGTCGCTAGAGTTGCTATTGTCGTACCTCCGAAAGAAATTATAAGAAATTGTTGACCCTTTCGTCGGGACAAATCAAGCGAACTATCAAAACTACTTGGGAATTTCTAACTAAGGTAGGCATTGCATTAGCTGAAGCTACACTATAACTCCAAGGTTTACCGTAAAAATGCAAACGGAGCTCTACGCGCACGAGCGTAGCCCCGTACCTAATATAAAAAAAATCTGGTAATCTTCTTACCCCAGCTGTTAGCCGAGAAATTTTGGTAATCACGTAACCGTACGCTCGCCTTTCCCACAGACATACCAATGTGAAATAACTGAATCAACAGGTAATATATAGATTTACCCAGGGCTAAAAGAGAAGCTTTGGTTAATAATACTTATAAATAAAAAAAATTAAATCGTGTCAGTAATGTTCAACGGGGAAGGCAATGAAAATGGCATCAAGATCAATAGATCTAACAAGCATCGCCAAAACGTGATTTTTACTGTGCTGCCAATTTAATTTTCCAGGGGGAGTGGGTGGCTGCACACTTAGGTCACCAGGCATGTCGCTGAACATTGCGTGACGTAGCATCTCATGTGAGAGTTAAACAGTTACTCATTTGAACATTGTACCCTTTTGGAAGACTTTCGTAACAAGAAAAATGAGTACCATTTTTACGTCGGGGCTGTATAGTACCTTTTCAAATACCACCATTATGAATAAAAATAAGGAAGTGAGCCATTCTAACCGGGAGACAATAAGCGTCATTTTCACGCACCCCTCCCTCAATCTCTCTGCTCTCCAAAATATTGCTGGTTTTCAGTGTCACGCCATTCAAAATAGATCAAAATAAAAATCAAAACCGTTCAATAGATAAAGTCCAGAATCTGCGAAATGAAAGGAGGTACATATACAAAGACCCTCGCCAAGATTCAGGTCAGAGGAATATTTCGCATACGAGATATCCGAAGAAATGTTTTACCCGGCAAACTTATAGAGATTTGTATGGAGACGCCATGCTGGTACTCACCTGGATGAGCTCCAACATGGCGGACGGAAACCAACAGAAACATCTGTTACCGAGTTTTGCTACAAAAGCGTGAATCTATTCTTCGAGAAACTCATAAACATTAAAGTAATATTTTTCTAATACATGAACTGTTTAGATAGCAAAATTTCCTGAAATAAGTCATTTATTTATTATAACCTACATGACAGCTCTCTTGGCCGCGTCATGTAAATGCCGCGCCACGCAAAAGCTTACTGAAATTCAAGCGTACTCTATCACAAAACCAAGAACCCTTTTGAAGCGAAAATTTGTATGAAAATCAGTTTTCAGCTGCTGTAATGCATCGTGAAAGTAAAATCTTGGTAGGATCAAGAGTTTTTTAGTTTGAATTTTAGTGACGTCATGTGAAAAGCAACAATAGTGTGACTAATTTGACCTAACCAGAAATTCCAAAAACTATTGTCGTTACGGGTCAAAACGGCTGTTAATAACAAGCAGTAAATTTCTCAATTCTGGTTCTTAAGACTAACAAAGCAAATTAAATTTAAGTTTTGGTTTTGTCTGATATTGCGTTATAAAGCCTCTCTAGCTGTCCTAGTGAATATATATAATATTTTTTTGACGCAGTGATAAACAATGAGCACATTCCCCAAGACATTCCTTTCCTGTAAGGAATGCGGACTATTCATACGCAAAGCAAGAATCACAATAACATAAAAAGAGACATTGGCCGTCACATCTACTTTATGGAAGATAATTTATTGTATGCAATTTCTAAGTTACGTCATGTGTTGTTCAATGTTCTTCGTACATGTCGTATATTCTAAGTAGCATAGTGCACACAGCGAGCATAGATCAGAGAATGCGTCAAGTGGTCGCTTTCAAGAGCTTAAAAATAATGGAAAATCATTAAACTTTCAGGCCCAAAAAGTGGTCGCGATCGCTTACAAGAGGTGGTCGTTTACTAGAGGTTCCAACTGTAAGGCTTTGACTGGGAAAGTTTTGGTGCATGAGTTTTGGATTGGCGATCTCTTATGGGAGGTGGTCCCACATGGAGGTTCGACTGTACCATCAACTGACGTAATACAACTCACTTTGACTCTGCAGATGATTACCGCGCGTCAGTCAATGTCAATGCAACAGTCCTATTTAGTACTACGTCAGCCCTCGGACGATCATGCTCATCCTACTTATAGATCTACTTAAGAAAATAGGAGGGAAAAAAGGAAAACTCCTCAGGTTTTTACACCGAGTTGACCTTGAGCTGGAACCAGCTGTGGCTCTATTACAGTTTTTTGAAAACCCACAAGCTTAAAATACCTGTAACTTTCTCAGTGTTTTGGTGGTCTTTTCAGTTGCTAAACACTTGTATTCCGCTACCCAGAGATGTTAACCCTTAGAAATAAGTTCACTCTCCCAAATTTGAGTTTTCTGAACTGATGTTTCCGCTGGCCCGGTTTGTAGTTTGTTGACAACAGATTGATTTTTTCAGTGGAAGGTAGATGAATGTACAATGAGTAGGCAGACAATTTTTATTATGTAAACACCAATAAAAAACCAAATGGGCTTTCGCGCAAAAACTTGATATCTTCACATGTGAAAATAACATGTTATCTTCACATGTGAAAATGTCATCGTTGCTATAGCTTCATAATAAACCGCACATTTGAGACCAAAAAACTATTTATAAGTAAAATGGTTGGTATTTCATTGGTGTTTATATAATAAATAGAACATTACATGGTCGCTTGGAGATACGAAATTTCTCTTCTCTTTTAACACTCGAAGAGAATTTTCCCATCTCCGCGCGGCCATATAATATCCTCAATATATACACCATGTTTAAACAATGGTAAATCTGTTTCTTTGTTGTTGTTTTTGTTTTTTTTAATTTCGATCATTATCACCAAACGAATGTTAATATTTTCGTTTTTTAGAGACGACCCCAGTCCATCAAATCATATTATACAACGATGAAAAACTCGTAGAAGGATCCCTTTTTGAGGCAAATCGAATGCGACTGTGATCGACAAAAACGAATAGTAAAGGAGCTAATAAATAAGCTTTTACTCCAGCTTTTAATTTTACTTTTCAGACCCTCCTCGTTATCGTAGATAAAGAGACTGATAGTATCAGTAGAAAAAAGAAACCACGATATGTGGCTGAGCTGAAAGAGCAAAGCCAGCAAAAAAAATATGACAACCACAGCTATTAATGGTAATATTGGCGACCCCTTTGTCAACTTAAAAGATTTCCAGCACGCCCTAGGCATCGCCTATTACAGTCTGGGAGAATTCCGGAAAGCCATAGAATACCATGAACGACACCTCAAAATTTCGGAAGAAGTGGGAGACAGGGCAGGAGAAGGAATAGCGTACTCTAATCTTGGCATTGCCTATCACAGTCTTGGAGATTTCCACAAGGCCATTGAGTTTCATGAACAATGCCTCAAAATTTTCAGGGAAGTGGGAGACAGGGCAGGAGAAGGAAAAGCGTACGGTAATCTTGGCAGCGCCTATGACAGTCTTGCAGATTTCCAGAAAGCCATAGAGTACCATGAACGACACCTCAAAATTTCGAAAGAAGTGGGAGACAGGGCAGGAGAAGGAAGAGCGTACGGTAATCTTGGCAACGCCTATCACAGTCTTGGAGATTTCCAGAAAGCGATAGGGTACCATGAACGAGACCTCAAAATTTCCAAGGAAGTGGCAGACAGGGCAGGAGAAGGAGGCGCGTACGGTAGTCTTGGCATCGCTTATGACAGTCTTGGAGATTTTCAAAAAGCCATAGAGTACCATGAACGACACCTCAAAATTTCGAAAGAAGTGGGAGACAGGGCAGGAGAAGAAATAGCGTACGGTAATCTTGGCAACGCCTATCACAGTCTTGGAGATTTCCAGAAAGCGATAGGGTACCATGAACGAGACCTCAAAATTTCCAAGGAAGTGGCAGACAGGGCAGGAGAAGGAGGCGCGTACGGTAGTCTTGGCATCGCTTATGACAGTCTTGGAGATTTTCAAAAAGCCATAGAGTACCATGAACGACACCTCAAAATTTCGAAAGAAGTGGGAGACAGGGCAGGAGAAGAAATAGCGTACTCTAATCTTGGCATTGCCTACAGAAATTTTGGCGATTTTCAGAAAGCCATAGAGTACCATGAACGAGACCTCAAAATTTCGAAAGAAGTGGGAGACAGGGCAGGAGAAGGAAAAGCGTACTGTAATCTTGGCAACACCTATCACAGTCTTGGAGATTTCCACAAAGCCATTGAGTTTCATGAACAATGCCTAAAAATTTCCAAGGAAGCGGGAGACAGGGCAGGAGAAGGAAGAGCGTACGGTAATCTTGGCAACGCCTATTACAGGCTTGGAGATTTCCAGAAAGCCATAGAGTACCATGAACGACACCTCAAAATTTCGAAAGAAGTAGGAGACAGGGCAGGAGAAGGAAAAGCGTACGGTAACCTTGGCAACGCCTATTACAGTCTTGGAGATTTCCAGAAAGCGATAGAGTACCATGAACGAGACCTCAACATTTCCAAGGAAGTGGGAGACAGGGCAGGAGAAGGAAAAGCGTACTGTAATCTTGGCAACGCCTATCACAGTCTTGGAGATTTTCAAAAAGTCATAGAGTACCATGAACGACACCTCAAAATTTTGAAAGAAGTGGGAGACAGGGCAGGAGAAGGAATAGCGTACTCTAATCTTGGCATTGCCTATCGCAGTGTTGGAGATTTCGAGAAAGCCAGAGAGTACCATGAACGACACCTCATAAATTCGAAAGAGGTGGGAGATAGGGCAGGAGAAGGAAAAGCGTACGGTAATCTTGGCAACGCCTATGACAGTCTTGGAGATTTCCAGAAAGCCATAGAGTACCATGAACGACAGCTCAAAATTTCGAAAGAAGTGGGAGACAGGGCAGGAGAAGGAAAAGCGTACTGTAATCTTGGCAACGCCTATGACAGTCTTGGAGATTTCCAGAAAGGCATAGAGTACCATGAACGACACCTCAAAATTTCGAAAGAAGTGGGAGACAGGGCAGGAGAAGGAATAGCGTACTCTAATCTTGGCATTGCCTATGACCGTCTTGGAGATTTCCGGAAAGCTGTTCGGTATTATAAGAACAGTGTTATGGCCTTCGACCACATTAGAAAACTAATATCTATGGACGAGTGGAAGATTGCCTTTAAAATTAAGTATGATCGTATCAATGTGAGGCTATGGGAGCTGCAGTTTAAGGAAGGTAAAGTCATCGAGGCACTTTTAACTGCTGATCAAGGACGTGCAGGAGCTTTAAATGATCTTCTGGAGTTCAAGTATGGCCTTAAAGGGTTACGCCAAGAAATAGGAACACTTTCTGCAAGACCAAGTGACTTTGCTGGTTACTTACCACCAAATACAGCTTTCATGGGTATCAGCGAGGGAGGAATAGTTCTCTGGGTGAACAAGAAAGGAAAAGAAATCAAAACTAGAAGAACTGTGATCGATATCTCAACCTATCTCAATATCACAAACTATTTTCAGTGTCTTTTGGAAACTACACATGAAGAAATAGGTTTGAAAGCTGATGTTAATTGTGAAGATCGTTCTAGCAATCATGGCTATTTTATCGTCGGTCACATCCTTATTAAATAGCCAAACTTCGAATAAACACTTCGAACTTACAAGGGACATATTCAAAAACAATATATTATCTGCCACCGATTCCTAACGACCTCACTCAGTTACCAGAGGAAAATCAAGTTGAGGGAAAACTATCTTTTGTAATACTACCACTGAAATTTGTCACCAGTCCGGTTGTCAGGAAAGTCTCAGGGCAGGGTAGGGAATATGACAGCACATCTGCGACAATAAAAATTTCACTTTACTTCAAATCACACACAAAATGCGAGTCTTGTTAAAGGTCACACAAGAGGCATATCCGGCAACGTAAGTAGAAAAACAGGAAGTCTAAGACCAACTTTCTCATTAAGATTCCATCAGTCTACATGAACAGAATTTGTCAGGAGCACCCAACGACGGTTTTCTCCTAAATGCATTGAAAACACTTTTTAGGCCATCCGCAGTACTTTTAGATCTGTAGAAATACATTCTTATCGGCGCTAGTTGATATTTGTTCAGTCATCCTAGGGCAACTTGAATCTTTTCGGAATTACCAGGGCTTCAGTATTATATTTTCCCGAAAATGTTTAGAGGCAATTTTAAGTTTTACGAAGGTGAGAATTTTTCTGATTCCTCTTTCCATCGCATTTTCGAATCCACTCCTATTACAGTGGAGCCAGCGCGCGCTACTGGCTACCAAGCAATACTTTAAGGCAACATAAAGCTTTAAAGCGTAACGCTAGACCCCATCCCCGTTCTCTTCACACATCTTCTTCGGTTTTGATCAAACAGAACCATCAATCAGTTCCCACCCCGGGGGTAGAAAAACCCCGAGCTGTTTACTTAGTGATGAACACGGAAAGTGAAAATTTGTCTGACTGCGTAGCAAGCGTGAACAGGGGTTAGGGATTGGAAGGAGGGAGGGAGGGGTGGGGAATTTCATACCAGGGGATTAGTAGACGATTGAAACAAACTACCTCAATCTCACTTAATGCGGAAATCGTAATACATTGATAAAATTAAAGCGGACATAGAAAATTGGAAGAACCTGGAAGGAAGACTATCTTTCGTGCGGAATTACGACTGAAATTTGTCACCAGTCCGGTTGTCAATCAAGTTCCAGGGGTAGGCCCTATGACAGCACAACTGCGACAATTGAAATTCCAGTCTTATTTTTTTCACCTCAAATCAAACACAAAGTGTATTTGAGCCTCGTTAGAAGATTAGAAGGTCACTCATCACAAAGCATATCCAGCAGTATTCGGAGAAAAAACAGGAAGTTTCAGACCAACTGTTCGGAAGTCAGCCAAACGCGGTCATTGCACGCGTGCTGAACAAGAATGTTGTATCATGACAGACTAAACTCCCAAAGCACAAAGTTAGCCAAAACGCTAAAAATCTTCAATGTTTACTCAAGTTTGGGCTTATAGAACATAATGTCACAGTTTTTCAATGATCACGAAATTCAGAATTCGGGTAGTCAGTTAATCGTTAATCAATTGTGGCCCTGAAAAGATTTGAAGGAAAAAAAACTACGAATTTTTAAGAAAATGCTTTTTTCGTGAGAAGGACTCTTAAACGCTGACAAAAGTCAACAACTAGCTAAAACTATAATTTGTATATGTTTGCATTGCTCGAAATCGCGCGCATTTACAAGGCCCTAAAGTTTTTTGCTGACTTGCACGGACCCATCTGTTATAAAGATCCCCAAAATAAAGGGATAAATCTCATAGTTTATTAGATATTATCGAGTAAAGTTGGCTCTTCATTTTCGCATAAATTATGACCTAAATTTGGAAACCGCTGAATTTCTCGCATTGGGTCTTTGCGATTTTGGTGAAAGTCTGTTCAACGCAAGGCACTAATACGCACTATATGTAGCCGAGAGATTTTCACGAAAAAATACCGGCAACGGCAGAATTTCGACTCAGACCCCAAATAGGTGTGGCACTATAACCACGTGACATTTACTCTGATGGCCAAAAATTTTGCTATGTTGTAGATTGATCTATATGTTATCCATGCTATATGTTAGACTCACGATCAAAGTAAAGGTGGGATACCACAGAGCTTCAAAGTAGGATGGTACCCTCACAAAATAACTGGGTCGAGTCACCTTAAGTTTCCTTTTTCCCGCCGAAACTGACGTTCTTGTTCCAGTCTTTTCCCAGTCAACAGACGTCGTCGTCGTGAAATTCGTCGTGGTTCTTAACTTCCCTATTACCGGTTCTTCGTCGCTAGAGTTGCTATTGTCGTACCTCCGAAAGAAATTATAAGAAATTGTTGACCCTTTCGTCGGGACAAATCAAGCGAACTATCAAAACTACTTGGGAATTTCTAACTAAGGTAGGCATTGCATTAGCTGAAGCTACACTATAACTCCAAGGTTTACCGTAAAAATGCAAACGGAGCTCTACGCGCACGAGCGTAGCCCCGTACCTAATATAAAAAAAATCTGGTAATCTTCTTACCCCAGCTGTTAGCCGAGAAATTTTGGTAATCACGTAACCGTACGCTCGCCTTTCCCACAGACATACCAATGTGAAATAACTGAATCAACAGGTAATATATAGATTTACCCAGGGCTAAAAGAGAAGCTTTGGTTAATAATACTTATAAATAAAAAAAATTAAATCGTGTCAGTAATGTTCAACGGGGAAGGCAATGAAAATGGCATCAAGATCAATAGATCTAACAAGCATCGCCAAAACGTGATTTTTACTGTGCTGCCAATTTAATTTTCCAGGGGGAGTGGGTGGCTGCACACTTAGGTCACCAGGCATGTCGCTGAACATTGCGTGACGTAGCATCTCATGTGAGAGTTAAACAGTTACTCATTTGAACATTGTACCCTTTTGGAAGACTTTCGTAACAAGAAAAATGAGTACCATTTTTACGTCGGGGCTGTATAGTACCTTTTCAAATACCACCATTATGAATAAAAATAAGGAAGTGAGCCATTCTAACCGGGAGACAATAAGCGTCATTTTCACGCACCCCTCCCTCAATCTCTCTGCTCTCCAAAATATTGCTGGTTTTCAGTGTCACGCCATTCAAAATAGATCAAAATAAAAATCAAAACCGTTCAATAGATAAAGTCCAGAATCTGCGAAATGAAAGGAGGTACATATACAAAGACCCTCGCCAAGATTCAGGTCAGAGGAATATTTCGCATACGAGATATCCGAAGAAATGTTTTACCCGGCAAACTTATAGAGATTTGTATGGAGACGCCATGCTGGTACTCACCTGGATGAGCTCCAACATGGCGGACGGAAACCAACAGAAACATCTGTTACCGAGTTTTGCTACAAAAGCGTGAATCTATTCTTCGAGAAACTCATAAACATTAAAGTAATATTTTTCTAATACATGAACTGTTTAGATAGCAAAATTTCCTGAAATAAGTCATTTATTTATTATAACCTACATGACAGCTCTCTTGGCCGCGTCATGTAAATGCCGCGCCACGCAAAAGCTTACTGAAATTCAAGCGTACTCTATCACAAAACCAAGAACCCTTTTGAAGCGAAAATTTGTATGAAAATCAGTTTTCAGCTGCTGTAATGCATCGTGAAAGTAAAATCTTGGTAGGATCAAGAGTTTTTTAGTTTGAATTTTAGTGACGTCATGTGAAAAGCAACAATAGTGTGACTAATTTGACCTAACCAGAAATTCCAAAAACTATTGTCGTTACGGGTCAAAACGGCTGTTAATAACAAGCAGTAAATTTCTCAATTCTGGTTCTTAAGACTAACAAAGCAAATTAAATTTAAGTTTTGGTTTTGTCTGATATTGCGTTATAAAGCCTCTCTAGCTGTCCTAGTGAATATATATAATATTTTTTTGACGCAGTGATAAACAATGAGCACATTCCCCAAGACATTCCTTTCCTGTAAGGAATGCGGACTATTCATACGCAAAGCAAGAATCACAATAACATAAAAAGAGACATTGGCCGTCACATCTACTTTATGGAAGATAATTTATTGTATGCAATTTCTAAGTTACGTCATGTGTTGTTCAATGTTCTTCGTACATGTCGTATATTCTAAGTAGCATAGTGCACACAGCGAGCATAGATCAGAGAATGCGTCAAGTGGTCGCTTTCAAGAGCTTAAAAATAATGGAAAATCATTAAACTTTCAGGCCCAAAAAGTGGTCGCGATCGCTTACAAGAGGTGGTCGTTTACTAGAGGTTCCAACTGTAAGGCTTTGACTGGGAAAGTTTTGGTGCATGAGTTTTGGATTGGCGATCTCTTATGGGAGGTGGTCCCACATGGAGGTTCGACTGTACCATCAACTGACGTAATACAACTCACTTTGACTCTGCAGATGATTACCGCGCGTCAGTCAATGTCAATGCAACAGTCCTATTTAGTACTACGTCAGCCCTCGGACGATCATGCTCATCCTACTTATAGATCTACTTAAGAAAATAGGAGGGAAAAAAGGAAAACTCCTCAGGTTTTTACACCGAGTTGACCTTGAGCTGGAACCAGCTGTGGCTCTATTACAGTTTTTTGAAAACCCACAAGCTTAAAATACCTGTAACTTTCTCAGTGTTTTGGTGGTCTTTTCAGTTGCTAAACACTTGTATTCCGCTACCCAGAGATGTTAACCCTTAGAAATAAGTTCACTCTCCCAAATTTGAGTTTTCTGAACTGATGTTTCCGCTGGCCCGGTTTGTAGTTTGTTGACAACAGATTGATTTTTTCAGTGGAAGGTAGATGAATGTACAATGAGTAGGCAGACAATTTTTATTATGTAAACACCAATAAAAAACCAAATGGGCTTTCGCGCAAAAACTTGATATCTTCACATGTGAAAATAACATGTTATCTTCACATGTGAAAATGTCATCGTTGCTATAGCTTCATAATAAACCGCACATTTGAGACCAAAAAACTATTTATAAGTAAAATGGTTGGTATTTCATTGGTGTTTATATAATAAATAGAACATTACATGGTCGCTTGGAGATACGAAATTTCTCTTCTCTTTTAACACTCGAAGAGAATTTTCCCATCTCCGCGCGGCCATATAATATCCTCAATATATACACCATGTTTAAACAATGGTAAATCTGTTTCTTTGTTGTTGTTTTTGTTTTTTTTAATTTCGATCATTATCACCAAACGAATGTTAATATTTTCGTTTTTTAGAGACGACCCCAGTCCATCAAATCATATTATACAACGATGAAAAACTCGTAGAAGGATCCCTTTTTGAGGCAAATCGAATGCGACTGTGATCGACAAAAACGAATAGTAAAGGAGCTAATAAATAAGCTTTTACTCCAGCTTTTAATTTTACTTTTCAGACCCTCCTCGTTATCGTAGATAAAGAGACTGATAGTATCAGTAGAAAAAAGAAACCACGATATGTGGCTGAGCTGAAAGAGCAAAGCCAGCAAAAAAAATATGACAACCACAGCTATTAATGGTAATATTGGCGACCCCTTTGTCAACTTAAAAGATTTCCAGCACGCCCTAGGCATCGCCTATTACAGTCTGGGAGAATTCCGGAAAGCCATAGAATACCATGAACGACACCTCAAAATTTCGGAAGAAGTGGGAGACAGGGCAGGAGAAGGAATAGCGTACTCTAATCTTGGCATTGCCTATCACAGTCTTGGAGATTTCCACAAGGCCATTGAGTTTCATGAACAATGCCTCAAAATTTTCAGGGAAGTGGGAGACAGGGCAGGAGAAGGAAAAGCGTACGGTAATCTTGGCAGCGCCTATGACAGTCTTGCAGATTTCCAGAAAGCCATAGAGTACCATGAACGACACCTCAAAATTTCGAAAGAAGTGGGAGACAGGGCAGGAGAAGGAAGAGCGTACGGTAATCTTGGCAACGCCTATCACAGTCTTGGAGATTTCCAGAAAGCGATAGAGTACCATGAACGAGACCTCAACATTTCCAAGGAAGTGGGAGACAGGGCAGGAGAAGGAAAAGCGTACTGTAATCTTGGCAACGCCTATCACAGTCTTGGAGATTTTCAAAAAGTCATAGAGTACCATGAACGACACCTCAAAATTTTGAAAGAAGTGGGAGACAGGGCAGGAGAAGGAATAGCGTACTCTAATCTTGGCATTGCCTATCGCAGTGTTGGAGATTTCGAGAAAGCCAGAGAGTACCATGAACGACACCTCATAAATTCGAAAGAGGTGGGAGATAGGGCAGGAGAAGGAAAAGCGTACGGTAATCTTGGCAACGCCTATGACAGTCTTGGAGATTTCCAGAAAGCCATAGAGTACCATGAACGACAGCTCAAAATTTCGAAAGAAGTGGGAGACAGGGCAGGAGAAGGAAAAGCGTACTGTAATCTTGGCAACGCCTATGACAGTCTTGGAGATTTCCAGAAAGGCATAGAGTACCATGAACGACACCTCAAAATTTCGAAAGAAGTGGGAGACAGGGCAGGAGAAGGAATAGCGTACTCTAATCTTGGCATTGCCTATGACCGTCTTGGAGATTTCCGGAAAGCTGTTCGGTATTATAAGAACAGTGTTATGGCCTTCGACCACATTAGAAAACTAATATCTATGGACGAGTGGAAGATTGCCTTTAAAATTAAGTATGATCGTATCAATGTGAGGCTATGGGAGCTGCAGTTTAAGGAAGGTAAAGTCATCGAGGCACTTTTAACTGCTGATCAAGGACGTGCAGGAGCTTTAAATGATCTTCTGGAGTTCAAGTATGGCCTTAAAGGGTTACGCCAAGAAATAGGAACACTTTCTGCAAGACCAAGTGACTTTGCTGGTTACTTACCACCAAATACAGCTTTCATGGGTATCAGCGAGGGAGGAATAGTTCTCTGGGTGAACAAGAAAGGAAAAGAAATCAAAACTAGAAGAACTGTGATCGATATCTCAACCTATCTCAATATCACAAACTATTTTCAGTGTCTTTTGGAAACTACACATGAAGAAATAGGTTTGAAAGCTGATGTTAATTGTGAAGATCGTTCATTGAGGAACCCAAGAGATAACAGTTAGCAGAAGAAAGATCCAGTGAGCCAAGGTCTAATTCCTCATCTTTTGGGGAGACAAAGTCATTACAAACATTGTACAATGTTGTTATAGGCCCCATAAGAGACTTAGTCGACGGCGATGAAATTGTGATTGTTCCAGAAGGACCTCTGTGTTTGGCGCCTTATGCTGCTTTTATGGACATGAAATCAAAGTACCTCTGCGAAACTTTCAGAATTCGTCTGCTCCCCTCGCTTTCTAGTCTTCGATTAATCCAAGACTGTCCAGCAGATTGGCACAGCAAGACTGGCGCTCTTCTCGTCGGCGATCCGTGGGTACAGGAGGTAACGACGCTAAAGTAGTTAGCGTGGGCCGAAAAAGAAGTGCAGATGATTGGGGAAATTCTTCACACTGTACCTCTCGTTGGAAAGCAGGCAACAAAAGATGAAGTTTTGAGACGTATTTCCTCTGTTGCTTTGGTGCATATTGCTGCTCACGGTGAAATGGAAACAGGAGAAATTGCGTTGGCCCCAAACACAACGCGTTCATCCGTGGATCCAGCCGAGGACTATATCTTAACTATGAAAGATGTTTTAAAGGCGCAGATTAGGGCAAGACTTGTTGTACTTAGTTGTTGTCATAGTGCTCGGGGAGAAGTCAAATCTGAGGGTGTGGTCGGCATCGCACGGGCTTTTTTGGGTGCTGGTGCTCGTTCTGTTCTGGTGTCCCTGTGGGCGATTGAGGACGAGGCTACGATGGAGTTCATGGAATTTTTCTACCTACAACTAGTCAATGGAAGAAGTGCCAGTGAG